TCTCTGTGACAGGTCAGTGTTTCTCCTGAACTTGCGTCAACATCTTTTTAGCCCTTACATCGAGAGTTCCCATGAACAGCTGTGAAATCCAAACTCAACATTCAGAATCCACTAGAGACCCAATGATATATCAAGAAAGCACGTCACACCTGGCAGAGAAGCTGCTTTGTCACTCAATTGTCCAGCTACCTTTGGGCCTGAAAAAGTGCAAAAAAAATGGCTGCTATTCCCAAACGACTAATGCAATACTTTTGTTGAACCCCTTCAATTAAATCTACGCTTCACTGATTCATGATTATCAAAAGCATTCTGGTAGTGTGCAGAGACAAATTATCACAACTTTGTCATCGTCCAAATACTTATGGAGCCCCATTGTGTATGGTGCCACATTTGACTTGAGTCTGGCAGGTCATTCATCACAACATGTGTCCGGCGACCTACTTTACCTTAAGTACGCTGCATAAAAGTGAAAAATTAACTTCACAACTACTACCATCATAACGGTCTCTATAAACGTGTGGGATCACAAGGTCTGTCATCTGCCTCTGGCTTGACTTACATGTTTGTCAAAGTTGTTTGTTCATTCTGTATTTGCAAAACTTAAAAAACATGCTTGGGTTCCTCAGCAGGGCTCTCCAGGGCAGCAAACTGTTTTTAATTGTTCTTGAGGGGATAATGGCGATAATGACCTGTTGACCGTTTCCAACTATGCATCCCGTGGGCTCTCATTAGGTTTTGACATCATCAAACATTGCATCAGTGTCCAGTGGCATTAATTCCCCCAAGCTCTGTGTTCGACACCTGTGGAGAGACGCTGGGGATGCAGCAGTAGAGGGCGCTGAGAGGAGCTGAGGGACGCGAAGGGGAAAGTCGTAACCTTACATCATACGAGCAGCTGATTTGAAAAGTGTATTACAGTCCTTGAAAACTTAAACTGTTTTACTAAATCTTGTGCGTATGTGACACTGTTTCGGTTGTTTGATGACGATCCCTAACACACCACGGCGCACAAACATACATCCAATTCAAAGCGCTGACTTGTCAATATCATACTGAAACTGAAGCTTGTTTCCCTTTATAGAAACTTTACTCGGGATTTAAAGCCTGTCAGTATTAGGAATCCTTCGAAAACTTACTGAAGTTGTGTATTTGTTTCCTCAGCACACCTCCAAAATTATTGGCACCCCTGGTTAAGATGTTTTCTTTAGCTTGTAGTAAATTCAGTCTTTTTCTAAATAATATAGGACCGCAATGAAAAAAAGTAGGTCCACTAGAGGTCAAAGGTCAATTTTTCAAAAATGCTGTAAACCTTGAAAAGGGTGGAGGGTAGACTTATAGCATTTGGTGCAGGTAAGCAGCCATGTTGGGGCTTTCTGTTGGTGGTGTTACATTTGACCTTGGATGATATTTAAAGGTCAAACTCAAGGTCATACATTTTGACTGCACTGTAACTTGACAATGGTGCAAGATAGACACACTTTTTGTATCGGAAGTCATATACAACAATCTCAATGGGTCTTCTGTCTGGTTAAATAAAGGCAAAATAAAATGAAATAATCATAAAAAAAAGTGTGTTATTGCCATCATATTTCAAATAGCATGTAGTGTATACATGCATAGTACCCATTTCACCTTGGACAACCAGCCAACCATGATTGGGGAAAGAAAACACCTATTTTGTGGTAAGCTGGATGGAACAATTCCTTGAAGAACAAATCTGACTGACTGACAATTGACTGACTGAATGATGATTATTATTGTTGTTGTATAAAAATGTTATTTTGATTTTTTTAAAAAACAAAAAAACAGTGAGCTTTTACAACATTGAATTTCCCTTCTCCGATAAATATAGTATTTTTCATTTAATTCATTCATTTCATTTCATTTCATAATGGTTTCCTGGTGCAACTATGGCCAACAGGGGCAACTATATCCCTCTACTGAGGGTCCTCCAATTTTATTTCCATTGAAAGTGACAAACAACAAAAAGCATTTTTTTTTTTCTCTGCATTTGGCCATTGGTCCTCATGCAAACACAGTTTTAGGTCATTGAAAACTGGCCTTTTGGAAAAACTTCCAGGATGAGTGTATTCAAGAACTCTTGCAGTGTTGACTTGTAGACGGAGGGAAATATTGGAAACATTGCCAATGACGCTCACTTCCTGATTGGGTCACCTCACGTCCTGCTCTGATCCATCATGTGAGTGTAAAACTCAGCAACCAGCCATCTGCTTCCTCCTGTGTGCACCAACACGTGCACGTCCAGCGTATGTGAACGATCATGTGCTGTGTGTCTTTTCAGGCATGCTAGCATGGATGGAGATTATTTTTTGCAACAGTGCTAAAATGTTCATCTGGATGAAGATTGAAAGTGGATGAAAACATGTTAAACAGGATTTATACTCCTGTGTTGAATCTACAGAGAGTTCATAATGCATAATGCAAAAACTGTACTGGGAGGTTGTGTGACCTCTCACTTAAGTTTTTTTGCTTTAATTTAACACATCTGGCGTATGTCCAGTGTCTAATTACTACGCATGAATTTGATGTCAGCAGCCTTCCTCTCATCTCATCAACATCATGAAGCAAATTAGCAATGAAATTAGAAACAGGCTTAAATTTGTCAGGAAAAGGGGACACTGAACTGTTAGTTTGTTCTTATAACATCCTCATAAAAGCCGCAGTGTATTTCACCCCGTGCCATTAAGTCACTCTATTATTTATTTATTTATTTGTTCCTTTCATGAAGGTAGACGACATAATTTGTACATAAATGCACTCTACATTTTCAAATCAACACCTTCATGATTGGAAAGGAGCAGCAAGAAGAAAAAAAAGTTCTTGTATTTGCCTGCCCCCCTGTTTAAACAAATAAAATGAAAAAACAAAAAAGAAAGAAAAGATGGTCCGATATCACATACAGTTGATTTTCAGTAACCTACCCAATTACCACTTTGAATAACAAAACAAAATAAAACAAAGAAAATGATCCTTAAAGTCCAATTTAAGTTTCAAGTACATATTGACCATTTCTTCTACATTTGTACATTTTTTTAAATTTACAAATATCTGTACAACCTTTTAAATCTTGTAGTTGGGAATTCCATATTTTTACACCAACAACTGAAATATGCTTCAAGGTAGTCCGAGCATCAGATAGTGATGTGTTTTATGTAATGCATATAATGCATTAGTCAGATACATAACGGGGAAATTTGTCATTATATTCTGTTTATTTGTCTGAAAGGTCGATAGTAATGACTTACAGTTGATGTACTTTAAATAGCAGGTGGAAATATCAACACAACCAGTGCTTCACTTTTAACAATGATGCTAAATAATTTTAATCCAGGATGTGCACTTCAAGGCATAAATGTTTTTGACGTGTGCTGGAAGAAAAACAGGACATGTTCTATTTTACAGTCCCCGTGGAGGGACGACTGTGGTCATGTTTGGTGAGACTAGATAAAGAGGCGTTGAGCTGCTGCCGGGGATCCACTGTGGTAAGCTGCCACAGACCACATACAGACAGCATGAAGACCATCTAGATACGGTGAGAACTAACAGCCGCTAAATGGTGCAGTGAATGTAACTGTGAATGATTTGTTTGTCTGGTTATTGAGGATTCATTTACAAAAGCATTTATGTCTAACAGCATTTATCTGTCTGTTCTCTCGTCTTGTTCAGCGTCTCTCCAACATCATCAAAACCAACCAAGCAGGATAAAAGGAGTTGCAGCTGGATCACACAATCTGTGCTGCTGTCTATGGAGTAAATGGAAAACAACACCTCTCCCCTTTATTTTAACCTCACAATGTTCATGAACATAGGCAACTACCGCTACCCGGCGTTTGTCTTGTGTCTCCTGCTTTGTGCTTTTATCGTCTCTGCTAATCTCGTCGTAATCGTGGTAATAGCGCGAGAGAAGAGCCTCCATGAGCCCATGTACATTTTCATTTTGTGTCTCTCCGTTAACTCCGTGTACGGCTCCGCTGGCTTTTTCTTCAGATTCCTCAAAGACCTTCTGTCGGACTCTCACTTGATCTCGAGGCCGGCTTGTTTCACTCAGATCTATGTCATTTACACCTACGCATCCTATGAGCTCACCCTCTTAGGAATAATGGCGTACGATCGCTATGTCGCCGTGTGCCAGCCGTTGCATTACCACAGCAAAATAACCAGCAGAATGATCTCTAAGTTGGTCGCCATCGCATGGATCTATCCAGCTTTTTCTGTTGGGACCTGTGTTTATTTGTCCTCCAGACTTCCCCTGTGTGACAATAAGATACCAAAGGTTTTCTGTGCCAACTGGAATGTAGTGAAACTGTCGTGTGTCTCCACTGCGCTCAATAATCTCGTTGGCATGCTGGTGACCACGAGCACAGTCTTTCTGCCCCTGGTTTTTGTCCTGTACACATATACACGCATTTTCCTTGTTTGCAGGAAACGCTCTTCGGAGTTCAAGAGCAAAGTCATACAAAGCTGCCTGCCGCACATTATTACGTTTGTCAATTATTCCATTACTGTGTTTTGTGATGTTTCCCTCAGCAGAATTAATCTGGAAGAGCTCAATCCTTTCCTGGCTATTATTCTGTCGCTGGAGTTTGTTGTGATTCCTCCCATTTTGAATCCTCTTGTTTACGGCTTGAAGTTACCAGAAATTAGAAAAATCATCTTAAGAACGTTATCGTGTTCAAAATCTGCCCAAACTGTTAAAGCTTAGAAATAAGAATTATCGACCTGTGCTGTTTCTGAAGAGTTATTTTATCATCACAGTGAAAACACCACCATGCTATTCTGTGTGTCATAGTGAAGAGTCAGAATATATGTGCTAACTGTCTTTTAATCTGTCATTTAAACATCAGCATTAAAGTGTTTTTTTTTTCTCTGTTCTTTATTTTCAATAAATCTTTTACTGTATTTAGCAGTTTTATAATAAAAAGTCCCTGTTGCTTGATTATTGTAGAGGCACTCTGACTGTTTGTTTTGGGAAATCTTACTGTGAATGTCAGATTATTTGAAGTATAAATCAGGCCTATTTTGAGGTGAGTTTTAAAGCTGTTTGGACGATTTTACACTTTTATTGTTGTCTGTGTAAGTAAGTAGATCTCATTTCATTTGTTGGCCTTTTTGACTTGAGCAAGCAAGCATCGAACCTTTTTTGAAACATCATTCACAGTTAAAGGCAATACACTCAAACAAATTATAAAACCGACATGTTGTTGTCGTTATCACACATTCAGATGCCTAAATTTAGAATCAGGGGTTACAGATTAGGTGCCGGTGATTAAAAGCTCTTTAGGGAATGACAGGACAAGTGCAAAGTGTCTTAATTAACCTCTTATACCCTTTAGACCATTTGTTTAAAAAATCTTCCTGTAAAACACAAACTGAATCAGTAAATACTGTGCAATAGTAAAACTATAACAGACAGTCCTTAAAATCTAAAGTAAGAACTGAATGAACAAAATGAGCAAAATGATTGTGCCAGATGACAATACAAGTCATTTAACTATAATGCAGTGAGACGTATTCTGTATTGCTATTAAATGTGTCATCAGCAACTTCTCTTATTAAATATTCACCCTGCAGAGTCAATGCACATACAGACATCTTTAAATGTGCTTGCGGCATGTTTCAAAATCATGAGAAAGCAACTAATTTAGATTAATTTATAAACCATTGGATTTTAATAGTGGCCCTGTGATAGACTGGTGACCTGTCCAGGGTGTCCCCTGCCTTCGCCCTAAGTCGGCTGGGATAGACTCCAGCACCCCCACGACCCTAGTGAGGATTAAGCGGTGTATAGAAAATGGATGGATGGATGGATTTTAATAGCTCATATTCATCTCAGCAACAGTTGGGATGATTTCTAGGAATCACGTACACACTTGCTCGTCATGGATTTTGCAGTTGATGAATGACGAATAAGGAAATACTCTTGATTTTAGTACAGAGTTACCCCAGCACTGTAAGCATCTGCATTTTTGAACAGACATTGCTGTGAATTGGACACGTTCACAAGTGAGCAACACGCTGATTTTGGTGAATTTCATTTCAAAATTGCAAGAAAATAGAAACTTGACTTGCCACAAATCCATTTCTACTGAGTTCTACAAAGTCCTGGCTGCTTCACCATGACAACGCGCCTGCTCACAATGCCCCGGCTGAGAAGCAACCTCACTACTCACCCCAACCACCCCCAGTGGAATGTTTTCCTCTTCCCCAAGCTCAAGGGGGTCATCAAGGGGACCCGTTTTGAAGACGTGGACGACATCAAGATGGCTGTGACGACGGAGCTGAAGAGGATCCAAGAAGAATCCTTCCAGGAGTGCATGGCGGCGTGAAGGCAGAGAAGGCTGGGGATGTGTGTTAGACTCCAAGAGGATTACTTTGAAGGGAAAAACTGTTTGGATTTGAAATATATTTTTTGTGACACCAGTCCTGAAATTTTTCTGACACACCTCGTAGCTTTTCCTGAAAAATGTGGAGGCAATGCCCTTCTTCATTTTTGCATTTACTTTGTGTAAAACACTGGTGCCACTGACAGCAAAGTAACCCCAGAGCATAATACTGCCACCACCGTGCTGTACAGTAGGTATGGTTTTCCAGGAGGTAAAGGCCTCACCTTCTGTCCTCCAAACATAGTTCAGATCATTGTGGCCAAATGTGTTCATTTTGGCGATTCAACTGACCACAAAACCTTCCTCCAGACGGCCTTTTCTTTGTCCAGCAAATGTCACTTGAGCTGCTTTGAAGGAAGCCTCTATGGCAGCCTCTCAACTAATGGCGGTGCAAAACACACCTGACTGTGGACATTGACTCTTGTGTTGATTGCAGACCTGCCTTTTGGTCATTCTTGGTTGACTCTTGACGTCAAGAGGCCGTGCCACTAAGTAAACTTGATGAACACAACTTACTACATAACCAAAACTGATCATTCAAGTTGCCGTGTGCATATTGCAGCAGATTGTGTCACATTTCCAGAACACCTAAAATAAATCTACGAAAGCAACAAAATGAATGATTATTCTTTGTGACAAAGACGCGTGTTTCAGTACTTTCATCGTAGAAAATCATAGGAATCATTGGAAACTCAAGACTGCCAAGATTTACATTGTCTTCACAAGTCTATGAAAATTTGGTTCACAACTGTATTTACACTTAAAGGGACTTTCTGGGGCCCAACATTATAAATTCTACACTTTTTTTTTTTTCAAGTGCTTCTGATGAACGTACTTGATCATTGTATTTGCTGGTAACAATTTTGTCTGCATCCTTGCAAAATTTCATGGCTGTAGGAGTGAACCCTTAAAATGGCTTTCACGGTAAAAATGTGTTTTTATGAGGGTACAAAAATTCACAGGGCTAAAAAACCTCAGTCAGAATTGACACTGACTCTGTAATAAGCACATTGTGTCACTAACTTCAAGCAGCAGTTTCATAGATTCACATTTGCATCATGGTTTAGGCGTCCCTATAGCTCACCGAGTTGAGCGGGCGACCTACAAACAGGGGCTACAGTCCCCGATGCAGCGGTCGTGGGTTCGACTTCAGCTCTTTGCTGCAGGTCTCTCTCCATTCTTCTATCCCCTTTCCTGTCTCTCAGCTGCTCTAAATAAAGGCAAAAAGCCCCAAAAATATATTTTAAAAAAAAGAAGACATGGTTATGCACACATACAACAGGTTTGTTGTAGATTCTGGTGCACACATATGATGGACGAAAGCAAAATGCCATCTCTGAAAGTCCTACAACTAATTTCAGCTCCAAATCAACGGATCCTTTGGTTCAACCTACAACTGATCAGTGATTGGCCCGTTCAATTCCCAAGGCCCTGTCGGTGTTTTCATCGACAGGATATAGGCATTGAAGCGCACATGGGCACACGGAGCAGAGGGTTTTCTGTGTGACCCTCCAACATCTTGGAGACCGGTTTGTATGCACTGACACAGATTGAGCTTGTGTTTTGATGGTAAGACTATTGGGAGGGGATGGAAAATGCTTCAGTTGTCACAGTGCTTACTCTTTCAGGTATAAATTTCACAATAGGACAAAGAATTGCTCTTTTCTTTTTTACTCTGCTGTGGTATTTAATGATCCTGTGGGGGAATCTTGCTCTTGTTGTCGCTGTCATCGTGGATAAAAACCTCCATGAGCCTATGTATATCATTTTGTGTAATCTATGTCTTAATGCTCTGTATGGAACTGTTGGTTTTTATCCCAAATTCCTCATCGATCTCTTTTCATCTCATGTGATCTCTTATGCTGGATGCATGCTGCAGGGTTTTGTAATACACTCGTCGGTTTGCTGTGACTTTTCTATCTTAGCTCTGATGTCCTACGACAGATATGTGGCTATTTGTCGACCTCTAGTTTACCACTCAGTCATGACAAAACAGAGGATCTCGATTTACGTGTTCTTCTCCTGGCTCATACCTCTTAACTGCATGTTTATGAACACAGCCACAGTGTTGGGCTCCAGGTTGTGTGGCTCACACATAGACAGACTCTACTGTGTTAACTGGATGATAGTCAGGCTTGCTTGCTCGCCACCCACAGGAAACGCTGCAGTTACATATTTCAATATTATGTTTTTTTCCGCACTTTGCATGTTTATTTTTTGGACCTACATGTACGTGATAAAAACATGCATGTCATCTAAAGAGAAGCAAGGGAAGTTTATGCAGACGTGCCTGCCACATTTAATCTGCCTATTGACCTTTATGTCAGCCATCCTTTTAGACATATTGTACATTAGGTTTGGCTCTGCTGATTTAGCTCCAGATCTCAGCAATTTCATGTCAATTGAATTTCTGCTCATCCCTCCGATGGTGAATCCACTCGTATACGGATTCAAGCTCACCAAACTGCGCAACAAGATTTTGAATTTTGTTCATATTAGAAGTAAAGATGCAAAGCATGACAGCGTGAATGTTCATGTTAGAGGTGAGAACTGAGACTCAGACACTGGAAGGAAAAAAATAAATACATCCGTGAATTTATCATATTTAAAAATGCAGCAAAAGGGAAAAGGCAGGTTTGTTCTTAAATGGTTTACGCTTGTGGAAATTTGTGGAGGTATTTTTAATGCAGTAAATCACAGACATGCCGGCGACACTCTCCTCCTGTTGAAACTGAAAGCATCTGATCTGCATGTCACCTCATTTAAAACATGTAACTGCTTCACCATTACATGTTATGGTTTAACATAGACCGTTGCATGTTTCTCTTTGTTGTTAAGTTTTATTCGTATTGTTGTTTTGTATTGTAATGTTTCTTTTCTCCTGAAAAACTGCACACTGTGAAATACAGAAGCATGTACTGTAGCACTTGCATCACATCTAATAAATCATGTGCATATGCAATCTGTAGTTGTTTTTTATGACTATTATGAGGGGGATTAGCTGTATTCCTCCATCCTTTCAAATAACAAAGACACATGAAATGTCAGTTTAAACATTTAAATGTGGTTTGAGATGCGTTCAGACTGAAACATTGACGATTTTCCCTCTTTTTCATGGGATATTTACAACATATCAGAAAGCTTTCGTTGTAGCTTTGACCGAAATGTTTCTGTCGACACTGCAGAAAATATGCATTCATTCCTATAAGAAATTGATGAACATTGATTTAAAAAAAAAAAAAAGACAGTGTCGCTGTGTGTAGACAGAAGCACCTTTAAGGAGAGGGCCCAAGGGGGTTTTCACAATGTGGGAAACAGGCGTTAAACAACAACAACAACAACAAAACAAACTTGTGAAAATAAACAGAATTTAAGTTTTTTGTTGTTGCTATTTAGAAGAGACACTTCAGATTCTGAAAAATGCAAATAGAGAAGTAATAAATTT